CATGTACATGTAATCTTCAAATGTAATTGTGATTTTATGTTTAATTATAGCAGTACATCTTTATTGGAAAATAATTTTGTTTTCAGATTAATGCAAACCATATTTTAGCAAGAACTATTATTAAAAAATAGAATATATGTACAGTAATTGTGGTTATTTTTCATTAAATTGTGCTGAAACTGGACCTTGGAAACTTGTCTTTTTGTACAAAACCTGTTATGAGAAACCACCTGTGCTGAGAGACCGTATTTTGTTGGCAGATGGGTGGTCTCTCGTAACAGGTTTATTGTATATTATTATTTATTATTATTATTATCATTATGACTTTATTTAAAGAGGGTAACTCTATTAGCTAAGAACTAATCTACCTTGAGGCCTTCATTCAAAGGAATTCATTTATTTTTGCTGCATCTCTGAAGCCATTGTATATACTGGGTTTGGAAAGAGGAAATAGTGTGGGCATTTCTAATCTCAACTGGAATACTATTCCAGAGCAAAGTTCCAGAGTATTGGAAACTTTTTTTAAATAATTCCTTTTTTGGTTTGGGAATTTTGTAATGTTTGGTAGACATTGATCGCAGGTGGGGAGTATTTCCAGGTAGCCTATACTTGAATAGTGATTGTAAATATTCAGGAGCACTATTATTGGCTATCCTGTAAATTAATTTGGCTTTTCTTAAACAGATTCGGTCTTTAATAGGAAGTATTTTTAAATTACCAGCTAAATTTTCCTTGCTTTCTTTCTGGATTGATATTAACTCAAAAACTCTTTTTCGGAGATGTGCCAGCTTTGATAAGTTTTTATCATTTGAATTACCCCATACTGTATTACAGAGTCTAAATAGGGTTGTATGTAACTGTTATAAAATAGTTTTCTATGCTTTTCCGGGAGAAAGTGTCTTATCCTACTGAGAAGCCATAAACTTGAATTCTGTTATAAAATAGTTTTCTATGCTTTTCCGGGAGAAAGTGTCTTATCCTACTGAGAAGCCATAAACTTGAATTGACTTTTTTACTGATATGTTTGATATGTTCAGTCCATGATAGGTTATTATCTACCAAAACATCAAGTAGACTATTGTGACAGACCATTTGCAACTTTTTATCCTTCCATGTCAGACATAGTTCATCGATATCATGTTTTGTTCTTTTTTTATGTGTTGAGATAAGTAATATTTTAGTTTTACCATTATTAACCACCATGCCATTGCATGTGCACCAGTTTTCTAGTTTGTTTAGGGCATTCTGTAAAGAAATTTTGAGTTCTTGTTTTGTGTTTTGGATGACTGACAATGTTGTGTCATCTGCATAGAGATCTGTAGATAATACTGAGACCTTTAGTACAAGTGGTAGGTCATTAATAAATAAAATAAACAGTAATGGACCCAGAATTGAGCCTTGTGGTACTCCACATCTAACTGTTTCAGGTTCAGACAGAACATTATTAATATAAACATGTTGTGTTCTCTCACTTAGGTATGAAGTAAACATCTATACTATATCTATAATATAAACACCATGCATGATACACACTGCTTGAGCAACTGCAACAAGAAGGCAAACAAAATCAGTGAGAAAATTCTCCACATAATGAATATGCCATACCAGGGCTGTTCCATTTAAATATGCCATACCAGGGCTGTTCCATTTAAATATGCCATACCAGGGCTGTTCCATTTAAATATGCCATACCAGGGCTGTTCCATTTAAATATACATGGTACCCAAAGCTATTCCATTTAAACATCCAGGGAAGTCATGTGAAAATAAGATTTCATGTGAAAAAGATAGAAAATTCTAAATTTCATCCTTGGGTGATTACCCCACATTAAAAATGCCTTCCCTAAGTACCAGGTATATTTTACTGGAAAAGATCTAAGATTATACTTTTTTCCTTTGCACTTTATATGGTAAAAATTCAATAATATTGAAATAGAAACAGAAGTGTCTTTACCCTATAAATATAATACCCAATAAATATGATTAATATTTGGATAGTATTTAGCCTGTGCAATATGACTAGCGTTGAAGTGAATACTTAATGTAGACATTATTATTATTATTATTATTGCAATTTTAATTTATTATTTCTTTTTATATTTGCATTTATCATTGATTTGGTAAAAAAGATTGTCATCTAAATTATTTAATTTCTATTTTGTTTCTGTGTACATATTATATACTGTCGATCGTTTTGTCTTAATAATAATAAGTAGTAGTAATAATAATAATAATAAAAATAAAAAATAATAATAATAATAACAAAAATAATAATAATAATAATACCTAGATTAATTACTCTTTTATTTGTAGTCTAAGCACCAATGTTTTAAATCCTGTTTAATTGTGAATTTTAAATTTTTTTTATAAGGCCACAGGAATTTTCATCCTGCATTATTTTGGGATGTTTGGCATATGACAAAAAAGGATAAAAAGCCCACTTTCACAATATTTTGAAGATTTAGAGAATTTTGTCACCAGAGTTTTATTCCCTTTATTTCAATTGTAAATATAATGGTAGTAGCTATCTTGCATTTTGAATGCAGTAAATATGTACCGACCTCTACTTTTACCTTGATGAGCCTCCATCTCTCTCACAACCATGCACCTTACAATGTATGTAAGATGTTCCATCTCCGAAATAGTGTAATTTTAACTCCCTTGACAACTGCATTTGCCCATGTTACAAAATATACACTAACAGAACAAGGTATGTTTTGAATTTGTAAGGTATCATGGGATTAAATAATTCTCATTTAGACTGTACCTGTGCCAGGTAAATATTTTTAAAAGCAGGAGTTGGGGTACAATTTATAATGGACTGGAGGCAGGCTGCATGTATCTTGACAAGTGATGACCAAATTATGTACCTGATGAGGAAAACTCGTTTTGTTTTTCTTGAAACAAAATTAAAAATATATATTAAAAAAAGTGTGGCATCAAGTCCAAGGTCTTCTCTTACTGTCCATCTGGCCCTCTTTTTTGTTAAGGAGATCACTAGAGAATATTTGCTAAATTCATCAGGTATCTTTTATTCTGCTGGATACCTTTGTCAAATAAATTTCAAAGTAACATTAAGTATTTAAAAAAATCACTTGAATTAAAACATATGGTGTCCTCTTAAACAGTATAGCAATTTTGACATTTTTTTAATACACAAGCTTACTTAGGTATACAGGCAGATCTTTGATATAGTCACCTGTTTTTGTGTATTTACCCAGACCCTGCTATGATTTTCATACAACAAGCAATTAACAACTCTTCACAGACATTTCCTCTGAACAGCCAACATTTTAAAATCACATTTGTGGCTTTTTAGATGATGCTGATATTATGGTGCATAAATCTGTATGTTTCCATAGTTACTTTTTTAAAGTGTGAAATATGACTATAATCTCTTACCTCATCAATGGACACAGCTTTGTTGAGAAAGGAGATGACTCCATTTTCCGAGTCAAACACAGCTGAACAGCACAAATCTGAAACATTTTCAGACATTACTGAAGCTCTTGTAATAACTTGAACATGATATTATTTCTTTCATCTGTTGACAAAATTTTAATATAAATTCATCAAAACATTTAAAGACAATGGATAAACTAGCCAAGATTTATTTGAACAAAATGAATACACACTACCAATTATGTCCCTGATAATGTCTACATTTTGGATGATAAACCAAAGTCTATATCTTGTGGAATTTTCAGATATCCTACTGCATATATAAGCTTTATCGATGAATTTTTTCAACCACTCCAGTGGCCTAAGTGGTTAGCACATCCACCACTGATGCAGGAAGTCGTAGGTTCGAACCCCATTGGAGTCATAACAAAGACTTATGAAAAATTGTGCTAACAGCTGCCTTGCATGGTTCTCAGCATTAAGTCGGTTAGTGTTTGGAATGGTCAGCCTGGTATCAGGATAATGTGACTGGGTGGAATGATGCTGCACGTGTGCAGCATGATGGCCCAGTGCTAAACATCATCATAAACTGACACACTGCTGACATTGTAGCAACAATACTCAAAAATTGTTAAAACTATTTTAAATATCCAAATCTCATACACACACAATAAAGATTTTTTAGAATGATTAGGTTTCTGCAAAGATAAAAAATACATTTTAAATTGTGTACCATTTTTTGCTTTCATTTGGAGTAGACCAAGTGACCCAATAATTTTTATTTAAAAGTGTACCCTCTAGAATGGAGTGTGTGTGTGTGTGTGTGTGTGTGTGTGTGTGTGTTTAATGTAGCTTTAAAACTTGTTCAATCATATCAAGAATGGATAGTCTTAATACCATTATTCTAACTGCTGTGCTTAAATGTACCTTTTAAAAGTCCAACAGCTCAAGTATGCATTCAGTACCAACTATTTTAGTAACAGGTGTAATTTTCTAGAATTTGATTAAACACCTTAAATAGTGATATTTTACTTTATGACTTTATTTGGATCCTCATACATCCATATACCATTGGAAGGTCATTATTTACAGCCCCACCATGAGAAATACATACAACAAAGCTAAATTTTCACCTACACTGACATTTTTGAATGAGGTAACATAAAGGTTTTATCCTGTACAAACCAAGGTAAGGTAAAGGTGCTATCTTGTACCAACCATATTGAATACTGCATGCTATGATGTCACAATGAAAGTTACATATGTTGACAAAATTTGTACTACCCTATATTGTGATAATTAGACCTGAAGTATTCTTTCTTGACCCAATCTTGTACCTGGCCACCACTGTAAAAGTCCATAGCAATCAATAATTTTTGTCTGGAAGTTTCTTGATGAGAGTTGAGGTGCATAACATTCAATGATCAACAGTGAATAGACTTTGGTTAAACTATATAAATATCAAATTTTTCAACAACAATACGCTAAATGATACTATATGATCACCTTGATATACACTATAGGTGTGTAAAAAAATCAAGATAAAACACCTTGAAAGTTTGCTAAAGCTGCACTCCTGAAACAAATCACCACTCCACAGTGGCCTAAGTGATTAAAGTATCTGCCTCAGATGCAGGAGGTTGCAGGTTTGAACCCTGGCCAAGTCATACCCGAAATACCAGCAACTACCTCACTTGGCGCTCAGCATTAAGTGGTTAGTGTTAGGACAGTTCAGTCTGATATCAGGATAATGTGATTGGGTGGGACATAAATGTCTGCAGCATGATGCCCCAGTACTAGACATCAGTATAAATGGCCACAATGCAGACAGCATAGCAATATGACTCAAAAATTGTTAAAGTTATGCTAAAAATCCTGATCACAAACACTAACACACCCAGAAACAAATCAACAGACAGACCTATCGATAATATATTACATAACTAAATTGTGTCCATTATTGTAGATTACAGTAGAACTTCAATCATCCGACAGGGTGCTGAGATCATCACAGATATGAGAATAGACAGATAATAGAATATGTTGTTGTTGTTCTTCTTCTTCTTCTGTTTAACGCCAATTTTCAGCACACGATAGGCTATTCATGGTGGCCAACATTAATGGTAGAGGAAGAAACCTGGAAATCACTGGAAAGAACCAACAACCTACAAGAAGCTACTGGCAAGCTTTCTCACATATCCACATTTGCCGAATTCTAGACTCAAATCTACGCAGAGATGAGATGGCAGTGATCAGTAACGGACAGCGCTTTAGACCACTAGGCCAAACAGAATATATACATTAATTAAAGTATTATGCAATAGACAAGGTCATCAAAAAATAATATCTACATATATACAATTAGCTGTTTTTAATATTTTGATGTACCCTGATGATTAACAGAGATTGAATGTTAATTGAGTGCCTGATGATCAAAGTTCTACTGTATACTTTAAGATAATCATAATTTGTAAACGTTTGCTTGTAAGTCATTATATAAGGTAGACAAAGTAAACAATTAATCATTATTTTAATAACAGTCTATGTGGATTACTTTCAAACAGTAGTGTTTAAATATAATTTGAGAAGAATTATTTATTTATTTATTTATTTTTGGACTAAAACACTTTTCCGGCAACATTATGAATGCATTCAAAGACATTATAGAGGATCATTACATAATGACCATTGGTATATCAGCATATCCAAGACTACTGTTACATCAGCACATTCAAGACCTGGAATTCATTTGGAACACTATACCTTTGGCCTTGTGATAGAACTTTTAAGATTATTGGGGATTTATTTCACAATATTGTAGATTCCTCTTAAATTTTCATTTAATGGCATAAAGAATTAAATTTTTTGCTGAATTTTACAAACTTGGTTTTGTATTTTTTAGTTACACCACTCCCTTGGTAACTTACTAAGCTAGGGTCATGAGTGGATCCCATTTTTTAAAAAAAAGAAATTACCAAAAGACTGACTTGCAAGTTGAACTTAAACTTTGATATATCACTCATTTTATCATCAAAAACAGAAAATAGGACCTGGAAATTGTTATCAACATTATGAAACTACTAACTTTTAACAAGAAATCATAATTATTCAAACAGAGATTCTAGTATTCTGAAAATAATGATATTCAATGAAATTTTGATCAAGGGAAATGTCACTTATGCCTACTGAAGGCAGTACCTAAATAGATAAAAATCAATAAGTTTTTTACAATGTGAAATTTGTATTTTTGTTCCATCTTGTAGTTAGGTTTAGATCATAAACTGTAATGTGTCCACTTGTATTCAGACAAAATGTGTCAATCTACCATAACAGCTATGGCCGTGAGCATTTCTCTAAGAACCTAATTAAGTGCCAACCATGGTTTGATATCTAACTTGCAGATGCATTTGTTGTATTGTTGCACAGAATGAAAACCTGACCTTTGTATTATCAAGTCATTTGCATCTTTTATATCAAATAAATGTTGTGGAATAAAAGAAAAATTAAAAGGCATGCAAATCCTACATGTGTAAGATTTAGCTGCCCTTTTCGTTTGTCAGGTAAACTCATTTCAACTGATCAATGTAACACTTTTATAAATATAATGAGATTATCATAAATTAAGCTACCCAATCAAAAATGTGATCAAAGATAGCAAGGCAACCTAGTGAAATGAATATCATGAAATAAATAGCTGTTTCACATTGTAGAAAAGTGAGTTTCAGAAAATTCTGGAATTGGTACTTGAGATATTCTCAAGAATAAAAAGTTTCACAATTACTTGAATCAAGTCATGACATAAATATTTCACTATCTAAAAAGTAAAACAAAAAGACTGTTTCCACACAGACAATTTTGCAAGAAATAAATGTCTCTAGTTCTTGAGAAAGGAATTTTGAACTATGGTGTATCAGCAGGTAGTGTGCTTCCCCGATTTGTTGACTTCCTATTTGAAACTCTGCCACAATATACTAATCAACAGCAAGAAAATTCTGTGATGTAATGCACCAATGTTTTTATGTACACATGATAGTTGTTGAAACCTTTTGATTAAATTGTCAATGATCTTTCAGATGTTGGGCATCTTCAAAAAATAAATGTAATTTTTACAGAATAATGAACAACTTCGTTTGATAATTGGCTTGATTGACAATTATACTCAAAGTGAATATAAAATGAGTATTCTGATAATAAACAGCCCAGTTTCTCTTCTCCTGTCTGTGGTTTTGTCCAACCCAGCAAGGATGGCATCACTAATTTTGCCAAGGTCCCTTGGTAACTTGCCCTCACTTACAGTATGGTCTATTTTGGACCCTGCTGTGCACAAGTTATTGAGGGTGTGGTGCACTTAGTTTAAGAGCACAGAACTGTAACAATATTGCAAAATTAATTTTGTGTTCTCTTTTTTTGTGTTTTTCCTTTGTGTTCCAATTAAACTTGCTTCCTAGTTCACCAGGCAAAAAACCAGTAAAACAATATACAAGTTAGGATTACATTACAACTGATGCAAATGGCATTATGGTGCAACAATTTGTCATCACCAGTATACGAAAATGGTAGTTGTCAGGTGAATGCTGTTGCTGTGGGTTTAACATCATTTTCCAGCATACAATAGGTTATATATGGCAGCCAGTATAACAGGTGGATGAACTCGGTGGGGGGGAGGAGGGGGCCATTAAAACCACAGACATATGTGAAGCTTGAGGAAAGTTTTAACATGTATCCTAATTTGCTGAACCCAGGACTCAACAAACCCAGATATAGGTGAGATATTAATCTGTAAAGGTGAGAGGTTTAGACCACTCAGACATCAAAGGTGTTCTCATCATACAATCTACACTTACCAATTACTGACAGAATTATAAATTTGTCTTGAAGTTAATGTTAATATACATATAAATATTAGTAAGACAAGTAGAATTAATTATAAATTTGTCTTTAGGTTAATGTTAATATACATATAAATATTAGTAAGACAAGTAGAGGTACCATATGAAAGTTTTGGGTGCAAGATACTAAATGAAACTTGCACCGCTTTGGTAGTAGTACTGATTTATCATCTTTATTTATATACAAGAAATGGCTTGTAACTGCTACTATAGCTTGTTCCACGCAGCATCATCACTGATATCAATATGTTTCTCCTTGAACTTTCATTTCAGCATCTCTAAATGTCTCTAAAATTTCTGAATTTGTTTAATGCAGTGATTTATACATAATTCATACTGACATTCAGCGCAACACCATTCATTGGATACATGCTGAAGTCTGTGTACAAATAATCTGCCATGTTTGTCCCAGTCCTGGAAGTCCTAGTACTACTATTAGTACTCTTACCTCATGGACTGGGTCCCAATACGAGCCTGTAAGCATCAACAGTGCAGCCAGACATGATTCAAACCCTACACTTTTTCAGCCTACTATCAAAAGTTTTCAACATGCTCCTTACATTTGTTTCATGCTGTTTGAAGACTAGCCAAATAGGAAAGCTCATTAATAAACAAATCGACTTTTCCACAGGTCACAGCAGCAACTTCAACAATTTGTCGCTACACACTTTTGTAGCTGCTAAAATGCAAACTAAGCTGGCATCTGATTTTTACAAATATTTTTCAATACTAAATTTCTAAAATGGACTGATTCAAACAGATAAATGTATTTTAAATTTCAGACTTTAATTTTATAATTTACTGTGGTGCATACATTAAATATACCATGACAAAAATCTGGACAGATTTTGGGGAATTCTGGTTGCCATACTGGAAAATCATGGAAAACCTATGTTTAACAAAAGTTGGAAAAATACAAAATCAGTAATAAACCTTGGAACAAGGCAACCAATCAATAACAGGCAACCAAAGGGTAAGTACATTAAAGCATCACTCTAAAAATGTATTTTTTTATACATATAATGAATCTGAATAAAAGCAAATTTGATCACCGTATTGCTTCATTTGTATGCAATTGAAGTTAAAAGAACAAAGTTTTTAAATAAATTCAAATGTAAGTCTGCATGTATATTTTATTTTGATTAAAATGCAAGTTTTTTGTGAACCATGGTACACAATAGGCCCCATCCAAACCTCTTTAAAAGTCATCACAAAGTCATCACCCCTTGCATGTATATTTTATTTTGGTCAAAATGCAAGTTTTTTGTGAACCATGGTACACAATAGGCCCCATCCTAACCTCCTTAAAAGTCATCACCAAGTCATCACCCCTTGACAACTTTATCCTACTTATATATATATATATATATATATATATATATATATATATATATATATATATATATATATATATATATATACATATATATATATATATATATATATATATATATATATATATATATATATATATATATATATATATATATATATATATATATATATATAATATTAAGACCAATAATTTATCACATAAGAAATTCAATGATAATATAATATATTCAGAAATAATATTTTTTGATAAATTACAAAAGAATGTTATTAGAAAAATTAAGTATTAGTACTGTCAATTGTATGTGCATATGCCAAGTCATTTTATTTGTATGAAAATAAAGTTACACTTAAATTTAAAAATGTAAAATGATTGTAGAGACAATATTGTTTGTAACTACTTGATTAATTTATGGTATTGTTAGTTGATCGAAAAGTTTGATTTT